AGCTCTGTGTTGGGAGAAGTGCAGCCAAAGTGCTCCTTGGAGGCCAGGATGGCTAAACTTTGTCTCTCATACTTTGTACATATTGTCAGGAGGAACCAGTTGCCGGAGAAGGATATCATGTTTGGTAAGGTGGAGGGTCAGAGAAAACGAGGAAGACCCCCAGTGAGATGGATTGGCAAAGTGGCAGCATCAATGAGCTCAAGTGTGGCGACAATTGGGATGTTGGCGCAAGACCAGGCAGTGTTTTGTTCTCTTGTGCATAGGGTCGCTATGGTACTGACTCAGTGGCACCTAACAACAACCACATGCTTGCTGTCTTGATTAGAGATAATGAGTATGCATTGCTACCATGAACAGTACTAGGAACATAGTATGGGCCCAATAAATATCAGCTTTTAGTTAGGCTTATATACAGTATTTTTATCTATTCACAGAAGGTAATCATACCTACTTTTCATAACTATGGAAAAGAGAAGGAAAAAATGAGCAGAAATCTCATGATTTATATACATTGCATTTGTCAGTGTAGACCAACTGCTAGAATTTTAAGTAGTTTATTTTTTTATCATGTCTGAATCTTACCTGGGTCACTAGGGAGTGTTGGAGAAGGGATTATCTCAGTTCTACATAGTCATTCAAGGACTCAAGTTCTTACAATCAAGCAGTACCGCCCTCGTTGGGATCCTTCACTGCATCCACTGAATCCAATCCAAGATGAAGTAAGAGAACAAATGTGGAGGATTGTGCAGGAGGTTTTATGGATCAGGTTTCTGCCCATACAAAAGTTGTAAGAATTCATTCATGAGCCTGTGCCATCCTGCAAGGGAGGCTGGGAAATGTAGTCTCTCTGTGCACACAAGACAAAGGGAAATGGTTTGAAGGGCAACTTGTTGGATTCTGCCTATGCTCAGTAAATGCTAACCAGTATTATGATTAGTGGAGCCCTGCTAGTGCAGTGGGCTAACAGCAAGGTTTGCAATTCAAACCCAGCAACAGCTGGGCGGGAGAAAGTTCAGAAGTTCCCCAGCATCATTTCTGCATTCGTTCTATTCATCCAAACTATCCACTAGGTTCAAGGGAAAGAAGCATAGTGGGTGTCAAAGAAATCACAGATGTGTTTGAAATCTATCACACATTCCCATCCCACATTTAACCCATTAACATGTTGCCATCAAGTCAACTTCAACTCATCTTCACCCCATGTGTAACAGAGTAGAACTGCTCTGTAGGATTCTAGGCTATCTTCCTAGAAGCACCACTGGGTGGGTTAGTAGGTGAGTGCAAGCTGTTTGCACTACCCAGGATGCTATTCCCATATTAAGATGTTGAAATGCTTCCCCACATAGGATCACTCCATATGGGATCACATTGCCCACCAGGTGTTCAGAACTTCTGCTAGGCTGAGATGTACGGATTTTCTCAGATTCCAAAACTGAAAGTCGAGATATTTCTCTAAAGAATCTGAAGAACCTGAGCAGGATTATGGGGCTTGGGAGAAGGATTGTCTCCTAAGTGCCAATTTAATTAGTCCCCATTTTCAGTCAAGTGTGTTTGTAGCCCATTCTATGGTTTGTAAATAGGGGAAGGTTTCATAAAGCATGGAGGGTCAGAGAAGTTAAGTAAATTACCAAAACTCTCCTGCTTGGTCTCCTAGCCTTCTTCCTGTAGGGTGTGGGGAGGGAAAAGGAGGGATCAAATAGCAGAGCTCCACTCAAGGGGCAACCCCTTCCTCCCCTCTCTGCACCAGGTACCAGTGTCATTGTCAGTAATGCTTCAAGGAAGAGGCAGCCTACGGGAGTCACTTTTGGTACTGTCACTGTATTTATCAGACACAAAATATTCCCTTCTTTACCAGTACAGAAACAGGGAGCCTCTGCAAGATCCTGAGATCATCTGTAGGAACAAAGTTTGGAGAGTGTGGTGGTCAGCTTCACTAGATGTGGGGAATGGAAGTGAGGAAAGGGTGCAGTTCAACTAATTATAATAATGATAGCAGCAGCCTTTTAGCATTTAACAGGTGCAGAGTAAACACTGGGTATGCATCATCTCTAAGGGCAGGGGGCAAATCTGTGGCAGAATTTAGCCTTTCCATGTAAGAGACCTGGATTAGATTACTGGCCCATGCCCCTCATGAAAAACCAGTAGAGGCTTTGGTGTTGCTAGCATAGTGAACAGGTTAATGTGGAGCTTCCAGACTTAAGATGGATTAGGAAGAAAGATCTGGTGAACTACTTTTGCAAACCAGTCAGTGAAAACCCTATGTATGAGTCACAATGGTCTGACTTACAACCCATCCATAGGGCTGGTCCACAGCCAGGCAGCATTTTGTTCTGTTACACGTGAGGCCACCATGATTGAGGAGCTGACTCCAGAGCAGCTAATAATAACAATCTAGGGTCGCTATGGATTGGGACTGACTCGTCAGCACTTAACAACAATGACTCCATATCATTTAACCTTCAGAACGCTCTGCAGGTCAGGGTTTTGACCTTCATTTTGTAGAGGGGAAACTGAGCCTCAGAGAAGAAGTGAATGTCGTTAGTATGCTTCATAGAGAACAAGGAAGTGATTCAATCAGGGCTGCTTGCCTCAGACAACTCAGCTTTCCAAACATTGACTGTGGGCTTGAGGTCACCCCTCCAGCCCCCTCCTCCAAGTCCTTAGCATTTCAGCAGCACACTCTGTACCCCTTTACATAATACATATTAATTGAAAATATTGGTGCCACAGCCACTAGCACCAACTGCTGAGGTAACATGCTGTGTCCTGGTAATTAAACTGGTGGTTGCATTGTCATATTCACAGTTGTCAAGGTCCCCAAACATTCATCCCAATGCAGATGGGAGGCGAGAAGAATATGGTGGTAATTATGAGTACTCACAGATTCCTGTTTGTGTGCTGGTGACTCTAATCCTTGTGTGAGCGTGCCCTTCCATTTATCTGCCTAACTTTGACTCAGCCTTTACCAGCACTCAGTTGAATCTTAGAATTCAAAATCCTGACTCTCTTCCTCACAGGCTAGTTAGGAAATACCTTTATGACTATTTTGTTGTTGTTAGCTGTCATGGAGTCAGTCCCTGAATGATGGCAACCCTGCCCTGTCCTATGCTATCCCCATGGTTGGGTGTGATTGGACCATTGTGATCCATAGGGTTTTCATTGGCTGATTTTCAGAAGTAAATGACCGGGCCTTTCTTCCAAGTCTGTCTTAGTCTGGAAGTTGCTGAAACTTGTTCAACATTATAGCAACATGCAAGCCTCCACTGACAGAGGCGTGATGGTTGTGCACAATGAGCACTGGCTGGGAATTGAACCTGGGTCTCCCATATGGAAAGGAAAAATTTTACCACTGAACCACCAATGCTAGCAAAAATTGTTGTTGTTAGGTGCCACTGTGGGATAAGCACTGGACTGCAAAGTCGATTTGAACTGCAAAGTCTGTGGTTCAAACTCACCAGCTGCTCATTAGAAACCATATACAGAGTTGCTATGTGTCGGAACTGACTTGATGGCACCAAACAACAACAACAAATCTTTACAGGAACAGAAAGTGTCATCTTTCTCCCATGGAATGGCTGCTAGTTTTGAACTACTGACCTTGAAGTTAGCAGCCTGACTTGTAACCACTACACTACCAGAGCTTCTTTATTCATTAGTGTTGTTGTTGTTTGGTGCCATGGAGTCGACTCCGACTCATAGCAACCGTGTACAGGGTTTCCGAGGCTGTAAATCTTTACGGGAGCAGAAAGCCTCATCATTCTCCTGCAGACCAGCTGGTAGTTTTGAACTGCTGACCATGAGATTAGCAGCCCAATTTGTAACCACTGTGCTACCAGAGGAGTTGTAAAATATATTCATGATCCCCTTTTATTCCCCACCTAGTTTTTTTTAGATAATCTTAATGAGTATAGAATATTTACAAAATTGCTCACAGATTTATTTCTGATACTAGTGTGCTCTGAACCTGGCATTCCACCACTATCAGTGTCTTGTCCTGCCCCCCCCCCCCCCCCCATTACCTCCATAAGTCTTTAAGTTCTTCAATGACAAATTCTCTCTGGGGCCATTTTCAGGATGTTAATTCTACACGTTCAGACAGGAATAACTCATGCACAGATGCCCTTACCTAAAGCATGAGATTAGCAAAATTACCTGCATTAGGTGCCAGGTATATACTATGTTGGGCTGTGGAGATTACTGTGATTTGGTCTTTGACCTTGGGGTATCTGGCATCTAACTAGAAAAAATAAACAAGCCCTTAGCTAAGTATCAAAATCAGTCAAGATTCTTTTGGTGCAAGTGAGGAGAAAATTCAACTCAAACTGGTTTAAGCTAAGCCAAAGGGAGAGGGAATAGATTGACTCATGTAACCTTGAAGTCTAGGGGTATCTGTCTCCAGGCATGGGTGGGTCTAGATCTCATACAACGTCATCAGCAATCATTCTCTTTTTCTTTTTCCCATCTGTTGACCTAGGCCTCCAACGTGTTGACTGTCTTCTCATGCAAGCTCTCTGCCCATGGTGGTCAGATAGAGAGAGAGCTCTTGGGAATTTGAGTCATGTATCCATTCTTGATCAATCAGAGGGATGAAAAAATGCTTTCTTATCTGTATAAGGTGCTCATTCCTGGAGGTGGGAAGAGGGATCAACCCTATTTGTGGCTGATCTGAGAGTTTGTGAGCGGGGGAAGCTCGCAAAAGAAAACTTGTTACCTGAAAAAGGGGAACAGAAGCCAGTTAAACATAACAGAGCCTTACTACATACAGAATGAAAAGCTTATTCCATACAGTGCCCTTAAGGTTAGTTGGGCATGCTCGAGGGATACCATTAATCATTGGAATTGCCTTTCCTCCAGCCTAAGCCAGTCTGTGTTGAATAGACCATAAGTTTAACCTGTAAAAACTCTGACAAGCAACATCATTCCAGCCCAAGCCAGTCTGGGTTGAATAGACCATAAGTCTATTCTGCAACAATCTGACCCTAATTTGTTCTCCATTTCAGTGACCTGGACAGAAATAATATCACTAGGATCACCAAGACGGACTTCGCTGGGCTCAAGAATCTCCGCGTCTTGTAAGTAGCAGATGGTTCTCCAGTGTGTTTTCATTTTTGGTTCATAAGCTCTGTGAAAACATTTCCCTGCCCTGATATCACAACCCCAAGCCCTGGGCAACAGAGATTCACCATTCTACAACAGAAGGCCCTTCATGAGTGCACACAGGTGCTCACAGGTGACTCATTCTGTGTCTTTTTGTTGCTGGTTGGACAGCTAGACCTGATGGAAGAAGTCAGTTCCAATGACAGGGAAGATAGAAGGCTGTAAATGAATAAATCAACTTGTCTGGCTTCCAGGATGACTGCAGTGTCAGGTTGAGTAACCACGCTTCCCTTCCATAGAGTTTATAATGTCTTCTCCAGCCTGTGCATTAAAGGAGCAATCAGAACAAAAGTTATTTATCTTGTTACTTAACAGAGAAAGGGGGAAGGAGGGAGAAAGAGAGAGTCAGACAGGGTCAGAGCCCTTGCTGAACACCCACAGCTGTGTAGACAGGTAGCAGAATTTGAGATGGGCATTGGTAGAAGAGGGGGCCAAGGAGTATCAGGTTTTATGACTAAGTATTGAACACTTCCACCCATCCTTATGAATACTTCCACCCATCCTTATGTCTGTAAGTGACAAGAAACTGCTCAAGTACTTGCCCATTGGAAAGTCTAAGATGCTCAGAGATACAAAAACAAACAAACAAACAAACAAACAAAACAATGGATCCTTTTTTTCTTCTTGACCCAGAGGTTGATTTTGAGTCATAATTTTGGCTTCAGACCTGGAAGGCAACCTGGCCAATTTGGCAACTGCATTTGGTCTTTGTTGTATCTTTGGAATCTTGGTTGACAAACCTATAGCAGCTGAAGTCTTGGTACCTGAAGTCACCACCTTCTTTTTACTAATAGTTATATAGGTCGGCAGTTCAAACTCACCAGACACTCCTTGGAATCCCTGTACAGGGCTGCTATGAGTCGTAACTGACTCAACATCACTTAACAACAACATATACATATATAGAATGGAATAAATTTTATGTTAAGTGCTGTCCAGTCTGGTTCCAACTCATAGCAACCCTGTATAGGGTTTCTGAGGAGAGGCTGGTGAGCTTGTATCACTGACCTTGTGCTTCAAACCAACCTTGCAGTCTAGTGCATTAACCCACAGCGCCACACCAAGACTTCACACTATGGACAGGAAATATTAAATGCCTGTGTGACTTTAGGCAAATCACTTTATCTCTTTGGACTTCAGTTTTCTCATCTGTAAAATACACACTGGATAGTTACAAGTTTCTTATAACTTTCATAGTTACACATATGAGGGGACTTTAAAATGTTTGAGGAAGAATGAAATTAAAAGATGATGGAATTTTTCCATGAACTTTTTGAAGCCCTCTTGTATAGTGTTTTATGGCTTAATATTCTCATGAAGAGTCTTTGTTGATCCTCGCTATATCCTGGGAAATATTACTTTTATAGCATTGTTTTCCTGATTGAGAAGCAGTAGTTACAATGATGATAATGATAACCCACATATGCTTGGAACTTATCATGGACCAAGTTCTAGGCTAAAGAGCCCTGGGTTCTCTCTGAGGTAGGCACTGGTATTAACACCTTTTTATAATAGAGGAAACAAAGCATAGATAGGTTAATATTACCGATTAAATAGTGCCCCACCAAAATCTGTGTTGAATTCCTACCCTCTGTACCTGTAGGTGGGATCCTGTTTGGGAATAAGATTTATCTTTTCTTGTGTTAATGAGGCCATACCAATATGGGCATGGGTCCTAAACCTAATCAGTTCTGAATTATAAAGAAGAGTAGATTATGCACAGAAACACGCGCGCGCGCACACACACACACACACACACACGGAGGAAGACAGATACCATATAAGGACTGATAAGCCAAGGAAACTCAGGGGCCCAAGGAATGCCCAGGGTTACCAACAAGGAAGAAATCAACATGACCAAGACCCCAGTTTGACTTTTAGCCTCCAGAATTGTGAAAATCTGCTCTTTAAATCCACCCACTTGTGGTATTCTTGTTGCAGCTCCCACTAGGACACCAAGACAGCTAAGTCGTTAACAATTCTAAATAGATGGCAACTTAAAACATTGGAATTAAAACCCAGACTGTGTGTTTTCTAACCTTGCCATACTCGATTCATTTGCAGTATGTCTAGAAAACCACGTGGGTAATGGCCTACGCCTTTTATCATGCAACACTGATATGAACCTGAGGTTTCTAAGCACCAGTGTGTGGGACCTGGGATCCTAATGCTGGACCCACAGGTAGTGGATGGTCTCCCCGCTGATGTGCTGTCTACTTCTCTTCTGGACAACTCACCATCTTCAGATGGAGACTGCATCCTTTGCAGAGCCTGTCTTGTGACCTAAGCAGTCATTCATTCCTATGCCAATATGCAATCCTGACCAGGGTGTATGTGGGTCTAAGTTGTGGTTGGGGTCTGGTGAAGGAATTTTGTGGTTCTGTTTTAGGATGGCTTTCATTGAAGAGACATAGGCAATACGATCCTGATGCCAGGTTACTTGCCAGCGTGGAAAATAGACATTAGCTTCTCTCTTTTCGTTACTATCCCCTCCCCCCGCATCTGTAAGAGATTTCCTCTCTCACAAGTCAGAAATTTCACCTAATGCTTCAGTTTTGAACAAAGTCAAAAATAACTCTTTGATTTTTTTACTGTTATATCAGAAAGGCTTATAAACGTTCCAATTTCCATATCTGCTCTCAGCAAACAGAATGTGTAAAATAATCATAAAAGATTTATTAATTTCCTCTGGATGGTCAGTAACATTCCCGTAACTGAAGTTTATCTTTTTGGTTAATTGGTACATTCTTCTTCTTCTTCTTTTAATAAGAAATGTCAAAAAGCTACTTTGTAGACTCTGTTAATATACTATGATTCTTTATCTTTGTTATCAACTCAAAGAAAATCCCATTCAAGTGGCCCTTTGTGACTGGGAAAGAATCTGGTAGGTGGGATAGCTAAAATGCTTTCTAATGAATACCAATAAAATATCCAGACATTGTACCTGTATTTCCATTTATTCTTTTTAGCTGAGTAACCTAGACAACTATCTTTCTTGAAAAGCTTTCATCGCACATTGGCACATTCCCTGTATTTGTTTCTTATTTACAATTTATTGTGAAGCCAGAAAAGACTCAATTGTCTTGAATAATTTGAGCTTGCCATCCATTTCCATGTAGAACTGTTAATAAGGTGCAGGTGAATGGGTAAAAGCAGATAAAATGGATTGGGGATCTTCAGTTTCGTCCCAGGGTAATTTTCCTCAAATGTGAAATGCATTCAAGGAGAAGATATAAGAATTGCTCATAATAATTTTTTCCTCCCACAGGGTGAGTGTAGGAAAAGGTCTCTTCTGGTGGTATATTATATTCCTTTTCTTAGTCGTCTGTTGCAAGAATTCTGCTAAGCCCATAATGTGCTAGCCAGCTGTATCCCAAAGGAGTTAATAAAAGAGTTAAACTCTGTCCCAGTCATCACATGGGCTAATTTCTAATTCTGATCTGGTGTTTTAACTAAATGAGACTAAAACCAAATAATAATGCTGAAAGAGCTGAAAATGAGCTCAGACTGCGCCACTTTGATTCAGAACAGACGAAAGGCATGGGCAGCCCATCTGGGTGTCCAGCCCTCCCTGGGTCCTGTGTCCTCCTATCTGGTCAGTAAAATGAGGTCAGTAACTTTAGAGCATGCTCATAACTTCCATCTCAACCTAGAAGCCTGCATGGGAGATTATTAGCACCTTCATTGATTCATTTGTTCATCAAATATTGAGTATTTATTGAGCCTTTAAGTACCAGGTGCAGGCTAGATTCACATAGATCTAGAACATAGAGCTAGAGAAGCCCTATTAGTTGAGGTCCCAGAAGGAAAAGATGGCACTCATATGTGGCAAATGAGAGAACTGCATAAAGGAGTTATTTACAAAGATGTGGGCAGGGTTAACATAACAAGAAACCATCAGGGGACAACTTAGTCAATTGGCATAACAGTTCCAAAGATAATGTTCTGCATTTTAGTTTGGTGAGTAACTTCTGGGGTCTTAAATGCATGGAAGATGCCATCTAAATGCAACTATTAGTTTCTACTGTATGGAGCAAAAGAAAGAATGAAGGAAGTCAAAGATTCAAAGAAGAAGATAGTCCATAGGACTAATGTTATTGCTGTTGTTAAGTGCCATCGAGCAGGTTCCAACTCTTAGTGACTTTGTATAGGGTTTCCCAGGAGTGGCTGTTGAGTTTGAACTACCTATCTTTCAGTTCAAACTGACCTTGTGGTTGAGTGCTTATCCTACAATACAACACATAGGACTAATAGCACACCGTAACTGCAACCTCTTCTAACCTTTTATGTTGTTGTTTTTGTTGTTAGGTACCATCAAGTCAGTACCAACTCATGTACCAACCTTATGTATAACAGAAAAAAACACAGTTAAGTCTTGTGCCATCCTAACCAATGTAGTTACACATGAGTCTATTACTGCCGCCACTGTGACAATCCATCTTGTTGGGGACCTTCCTCTTTTTCACTGACTCTCTACTTTACCAACATGATGTCCTTCTCCAGGGACTGGTCCCTCCTAATAATATATACGAAATATGAGAGACAAAGTCTGGCCATCTTGGCTTCTAAGGAGCATTCTGGACATCTTCCAAATTAGATTGATTTGTTCTTCTGGAAGGTCATGGTACTTTTAATATTCTCCTCCAACTCTATAACTCAAATGTATCCATTCTTCTGTGGACTTCCTTACTCATTGTCCAACTTCCACTTACATATGAAGCTATTGAAAATATCATGAGTTGGGTCAGACACCTTAGTCCTCAAACAGATATCTTTGCTCGTGAACACTTTAAAGAGATCTTGTGCAACAGATTTGTTGAATGCAGTACATCGTTTGATTTCTTGCAGTACATTTTTTGCTTCCATGAATGTTGATGGTTGATGCAAGCAAAATGAAGTATATGACAACTTCAAT